AGCCTGTCACACACAAAATAGGGGCCCATAATTAATTATACACTATCTTTGTCATAATAATGTTTTGATTGAATTATAAATTGAAGAGAGTTTTACGTGCAAGTGGGAATCAAAGAAAGCGTGTTTTTGCTTCATTTAGAAACGTGTAAGCGTTTTATGTTACTATAACAGAACAAAGTTCGAATTTAAAATTATTGCAACATTAATATAAAGGCTTTTTATCCACTCACCGTGAGTATTGAAGAGCAGAAACAACACTGCAAAGAACCATATTGGTGGGCTGAAAAATATAAAAAAATAAAATAATAATAATAATAGTAATAATAATAATAATAATTGGTTAGAATTTTACAAGAAATTAGCAAATTTAAGTTTATTTTTTTTTTTTAATATGAAAAAGAGAAACTAACCTAATTCCGACAACAACTTTGAAGTCCTCTTCGAGTGATCGATTGATATATTTCTGAAAATCGAAATTAGCATGGCTTTGGGGTGCAAGGTGTGCCTGATCGAATTAATGTAATAATATTATTTCAAATTTAATCAAATGAATAATCTCAAGTTGTAATAAAGAATATTAAATGGAAAATTTTCTATATACCATGATAAACCCGTGCCGTAAAGTCAAATAATCGACTTTCGGAACCGATCTTACGAATTGTCTAAAGAAACAAACCTGGAAAAAACAAAACAAGGTACCAAATGTTAAACTAAGGTAAATCTGCTGGTCAATTGCAACAGATGAATGAGACTTGTAGCAACTTTAGTTTACTTTTTCTTTTTGTCCTCAATTTTCAGATTTAAATAAAATGATCTAATTAAAATTACGGGATCGTCAAACGGAGACAACAAATGATGTACGTGTATGGACATTTTTTAATTGTGTCGTAATGTATTTGAATACGCAATAAAAATATATACAAATATATGATTAAAAAGAAAAAAACTTACAATCCAAAGAAGGACAGGAGTTTTGCTCCAAAAGCTCAAGTGCCTCCTCCCGAACGATGTTTCTCTTGCAAACCTAAACCTCTCGGGATCTGTCAACGTAATAATATAAATGTTATTAACATGCATCGTCGTCGTTTGTGTAAATTAATTTATTTATTTTTATTTGCGATTAAGGTAGTTTAATTGCGAAATTTACCGTGTGAAAATTGGTATTCAATTGTTTTTGTTTCTTTTTCCCATCCTTTCCAACTTCCCATCTAATTAAAAACCAAAAAAATAACACATTATCTTAAATTTGTTTTATACAACAATATATGTATTTATATATAATATGTATGCATGTATAACATACCTTAGCTCTTCCTAAGGCCATGGTGAGAATACAATAAAGGACATGGAAAATAGCCAAAACAAAGATGAAAATATGAAGCTGGTGTATACCATCCGAGGACACAAATGGAACTTTACCCTGCAAAAATATGTCATTTTCCACGTCATTTCATGCATATAATATATAATTAATTAATTAATTAATCATGTGCGTGTTTTTTTATTCTTTGTTTAAAAATTAATAAGCCATCAGTTAATTCAAAGTCATGTTAGAATTTAGAATATTAATCAATAATCATGCCTTCTCTGCGCATTTGTCAGTTCCGCCGCCGGCCAGGATACGCCGGAAACTGCCTCCGTCCACCACCGAGAGAAGTCTCCGGCGGTTATCTTCTTCGGGATCTTCTTTCGGCGGCGCCGGGTACTTGTTCCCCTCTTGCGTCTTGGTGCATGGGTGCCACGTGGACCCCAATTTCTTCGATATACATATGTTCGAGATTGGACTCTGGCCCACCGTCAGCAGCAACGATATAAATCCCAGCAGCATCAACTCTTTATTTATACAAAATAAAAATAAAATAAAATTGATTAATTAACTTTAAATTATATACTGATTTAATTTAATTTAATTTAATTTAATTTAATTAGTGTACCTGCTTTGACCTTTTCGAGTGATTCATAGAGAGCCCTTTTATGTTTCGACTTTAACCACTGAAATCAATTATTTGCAGAATAAATAAAATAATTAGAAAAAAAAAATTAAAATCAGTTGCAGGGATTATTATATTCCTTTTTTTTAATTCATCGGGAAATGTGTAATTACAGTTATACCTTTCCTATTAAATGGATGATGTGTTCGATAAGAATGGAAACCGCAACCAAAACGAAACACACAACCGCCACAGCCCAAGTCGGCGTTTGCTCCAGTGATCTTCCACCGCTGGCTCCGGCCATTCTTTATATCCTCCGCCGCCGCCGCCGCCGTCGATGATTTGTCTGCAACTCTCGGATCGTTTGAAGCTGAACAGAAAAAAAATCTCCGCTCTACAAAGTTATATCTATCTAACACGTTTTGGGGTTTATTAGAATTTGGGTAAGTGAAAAGAACAGTTAATTTAAGTTTTGATTTTTGAATAAGAAATGGCAATTTCGTATATATAGGTTTATGGGATAGAGGGAGAAGGGCAGAATTGGAAGAAGATATAAAAACGAGGGGTAGAATGGGGAAGTGGAATTTTAAGACTTTTTTGACCATATACGCGTGAAAATTTTGGGTATTGACTCGATCAAATTTCCAAAAAATATACATATATTTTTTTTTTAATAATTGAACCAAAAAATACACATTGTAATTGACTGTTTGATGTGTTGTATTCTGTACATTAATTAAATGTTTTGGGGTTATTTTATAATATGATCAAAGTTATTGGTTTTGACATTTGTCGTTGATTACTCCCCTGAGTCAACCTGAGTGTGAAACTATTTTTCCTCGAGTGATTTCCGGCCGTTGGATTTGTTAATTCAGTGATTGTCTAATTACGTTATGTTTGGTTGAAAGTAATTTGCACCAAGTATATACATATACCCACATATATCAAATTGTACTTAAATAGAATTTGGCTTTTAGCTTTTAGCTAATTTCCGAAAACAATTTATTTTGTGAAGGTTGGGAGTGTTTCTGAAAAGACAGACCCTAATATATACACAGTAAAACCTCGATAAATTAATAACATTGTTTAAATAATAATTTTCTTTTTGAATCCTGACTTGTTAAAATGTATTATATTATTAGCTTGCTGATTTGATATTTCGCTAAATTAATAGAATTTTATCAATTATTAGTTCTTACTGTATTAATTTATAGAGATTTAACTGTATAATTCACAAAAATATTTGCAAAATATATTATTAACAATCAAATTCAAAATTCAAACATAAGTTGACAGTTTATATTCTAATTAATTCAGATACGCCTTTGTGAGTCATCGATATATAAGAATATGAAATCGTAGTCGACCAATGACAATTCAACAACAAACTTAATCAAAAAAAAAAATCAACCAAATTAAATGTATATATGTGTGTCATTGTGTGTGTAATCAAATACATATAGGGCATTGAACAATATAATCATGTGTTATAGTAATGTATAATTGTTGACTGGCAATCACGATTCTCCTCAAAACGTATGCAATTATTATCACCTTAATCATTTAATTAACCAATATACGCATCCCCTTTGAATATATGTTTTATTAATGTTGGTTTTTGTTCAATACTTTATAAATTAGTTACGAGTTCTTGAATTTTTATTTCGATTATGAGGAATAATATGCAATTAATTATATCTATGCGTGTTTAATTCATAGTCTAATAAAATAACTGGTCAATTAGTTTACGTACCGACGGTGTAATACAAATAGTATTTCTTAATATTGTGCAATGCTATTATATATGAACATAAATAAATATAATTATCTAGGTATGTCTATATAATATGTATATATATTGTATAAAAAAAACTTTAAATTCTAAATATACAAACTTTATTGAAGTCTCTTGCAATATTCCTTCCACTAGTTTCCATAAGAGTTGTTATATTGAAAGTTGAAACTAATTGGAGTGGTCCGATTTTTATGGAGTGCCAGAGTGGTCAATGTAGTATAGTGCTTCCATTTATAAATAGTGCTCCAATCCCCTCCACTATAGTTTCTTGATTTTATTTAAAGTTGTAATTAAACCCACGAACTTAGCAGCTGGAGCAAATGAATCAGTGTCAACTGATTTATTTGTCAATGATTGTTAGGTGAAGTTTGTCACACATGGTAAAATTGATGTTTTTTAAATCTCTCATATGATTTACAAGCTGCAAATTCTTTCATTACCGATTTTTTCCTTTTTCGAATTAAGTCAATGTTCCAAATTTTAATATGTATTCAATGATTACTTTTTCTTTTATCTTTATTGGTTGACGCCTCAAAATTATAGGGAAAAGAAGTAATTAAGGACCTTGAGAATGCATTATCTGGGAAATCATAGTTTATGAATATTTTCTACAAGGGGAAATATGCAAAACCCCCCTCAAACCATAAATATTATGAGTTAAACCCATTTGACTTTTAAGACTTTTGCCCACACCCAAAGTCCAATCTTAATTAGTGAAACCCCCCTCAACAACTTTGATAAGACGAAACTACCCTTATCAGCAGTTTTTAAAATAATTGCAATATTTATTTTCCATAACCGTCTCACGTGATTGTAGGATTACATTAATTCTCTCCATATATCTCTCTTTCATTCTCTCTCTCTTTCTCACGCATCTTCTCTTTTTTTTTTTTTTTCTTCTTCAGCCCATAATCCTCCATCACTCGCCAATGGACACCACTCAGCCGCACACGGCGCCGGCGCCGGGTTTGATTCTCCTTCCGAAGAGCGAACGAAAAAAAGGGAGAAAAATCAAGTTTTTGAGATGCAACAGTTTTCGTGCAGAGGCCAGATCAGAAAATCTAACCATCGGATCGGGTTGATATTTTTACACATGATTCGTAACACATAAATATAACTTATGAACGGTGGAGATCGGAATCAGACTTCTCTAAATATAGATCGGATCTTAAAACTCGCTGCTGGTTTTTGTTACTGAATAATTCATGGCAGCTAGATTGGACGCATTTTTTGTACAATTGAACCGTTGGATGTGGCCTAAATTTGGATAGAGTATTCAGAGTATATATTTTTATATACTGTACGGAGGAGATTGAATTTGGTGCCCCCTAGCTCCGGATATAAATTGTGAAAGTATCACAATTCGGTAGTCACATTGTAGTCACATTCTCATGTTTTTTTTGTAGGGCTGCACATCATGTCGTCAACCTTTGTTAAAGTATGGAGGGTCGTTTGGGGTGAAGATATGCCGGGGTGATTTTGTGTATGAGACCTTCGCCCTCTGTCTCGTAATTTTTCGATCGTGAATTAGGTATTTTTCGATTTTTTTTTCCAGATCTGAACAGCAGTAGTAACATGGACTATAGCCATATTCGAATATGACTATAGTCATAGGTAAGGTATTTTTCGAATATGACTATTCAAGTTGACTTCTAATAACAAGATTCAAATTGTGATTTTTTGTGTGGATGTTGATTGAATAGTTTTCGTAAATAATAGGGAATATTCGTTGTTTTATATGATTTGGTAAACATGACTATGTCATATAATCGGAACTTTTAAGTTCAAAATGTAAAAAACAACAATATAAAGAAAGAATATGACTACAGTTTATAGTCACATATAGTCATATTCAACCATAGTCATATTCGGCGTTGCAAACCTGTTTAGAGAAAATTTTCAATTTTTTGTTTAAAAAAAGTTTTAAAAAAAATTTAAAATAATATTTTTATTAAAAAATATTAAAAATAAAAATAAATTAAAAATGACTAAATAAAGTCCAAAAATAATATAAAAATAAAAAATAAAAATAATAAAATCCGATTGTTTTTTTATTTTATTTTTTTTGATTTCGTAGCAATTTTTTAGGAATTTGGAACAGATATTAGGAATTAAATTGTTATGGAAAGAGAGAAAAAAGGAATAATTGAGATAAATTAGGGAAAATATATAATTAAGTCTAATTAGCGGGATTAGGTGCCTCATTAATAGGGATTTCGAAATTACTGGATAATTATAAAAAAAAAAACGTGATACACTACTAGAGGGGTAAGATTGGAAATAAATATTGTAGGGGGTTTTCACAAAGAAAGAATTATGATATGGACATATCACTAGTTTTTATCTAAATGAGGGGTGTATTGCTAATGACCCCTTTCTACAATTCTAATCAAATAACGACAACAATACCAATAAACAATTAGAAGCATATATGAACCGCAGAAAGAAATTATAGTTAAATTCCAATTATTATATACATACATGAATCACGGGAAAATTAAGTTTGTACTAAACACGTGTCATTTCAAATAATCGTAACACAAAACTTTATATCTAAAAAAATATTAAATACCATTTGATGGCAATGCTTGATTAAACATATTAAGCTTAATTATCCTTCCTAATTATTAATTAATTTCTCTAATACCATTTGATTGCAATGATTTTTGTAGCCATGCATGTGTTTGTTTGTTTAGTTAACTTATCCTTAAATCCCTGGGTTGCTAATTAACAAGTTTCTTTAATTAATTATTCCTTAAACATGACTCTTAAAAACAAGTCTTTTGGACAGTCTTTTTGTTTGATTACATGAATGAATGAATGCATTTTGGGTTACGTAAAGAGACATCCACTACGGTCTTCTTGACTTAGACTGGAGAGTTTGGGTGACAAGTTGTGTGACCCGACCCGCCCAACCATGCAAAAAGTAGTTCGTTTACCGAGTCAACTCTTCTTTTCCTAATTATTCTTTTTAATTTAAATATTATTTTACTATTGTCTGCTTCACAAGTGGAACACACTCATTTATTTCATATTTTGTTTTACGTCCATTTTAAATTTATAACGGAATAAACAAAGAGCAAATTGAAGGATCACTTCGTTAATAATAATAATAATAATAATAATAATAATAATAATAATAATA